GCATTATGATTATTTTGGATATAGGCCTAAATCTAATGCTTGGATTTTATAAATCTATAAAATTAATACACTAACGGGAAGCCGTGTGTCCATAGCACGTAGCAGAAGTACTAAACAAAAAGCATTATACATCTTTAATCTCAATTGGTATTGCTGAGACCTAGTTTTAGAATAAAGTTTAAATGAAATTTAAATCTACAGTAATGGAACAGTACCAAATTTATATGGACACTAGTTTAAACACTTCATGTGTCCTCTACAGTTCAACAGGTTTGCATTGCACCACTTATTTTGTTTTATTGCCATTAAAAGCCTAGTTTAGATACTGTCCTCTTCAGACAACAGTTTAATGACTTAGTAGAAGTCAGTCAAAATTCAAGCATGAAATCATAAATTCATGATACAATACAAACTTTATTTACATTTAGAGAGGGGTTTCAAATCATTTGTAATATGGGGAAGAGAACTGATTAGAGAGGGGGACAGATAGGTATTTACCTAGTTAAAACAAATGATAGATTCAAGAATGCATAGTTAACAATCAAGTATGAGAAATCTTTTTTTTTTTCTTGTTGTTCGATAACAAAGACCTTAAATTTCAAGAAAACCTTTGGATTTTAATGGTAATTTGGCATTCCTTTCAAAAGGAAGTGTATAGTACACACTTGTTGCAAATTACAAATATAATATAATTTTGGAATATTAGTTTCTGAGTTGAAGTATTTTTCCAAAGTCTTTTACATAAACAGTATGAAACATGAACAGATGAACTTTCAATTTAACTAATAGTGATCTGTAAACTGAATTATTGTGATGTTGTGTGTGGCTTAATAGTTAAATGTTGTTTGGATTTGAAATCTGAGAGTTCATGTTTTTCACCTTGTTGCTTCAAAAATATGCTCTACATTTTGGGTCATGGATACCTTATAAAAGTGATAGTTAAATCCCACTGTTCTGTCTGATAAGAGCAGCTCAAGTGTTGGTAGTGTGTGTGTGTGTGTGTGATGTTAACTAGCTGCATTCTCTCTAGTCTATCAGTTCAATGTAGGAACTACATGAAGATGGCCTTGATGTTGCTTTGTGCAAAAACTAAACAAACACATTTCTGCAGGGTAGTTTGTGTGATTGTTCTTATGCTGGTGAGGAAGAATTAATCTAATTTAATAAAAATAGTAATATTTCAATCACATTTATTACATATGAGTTAACAGAGTTTTACAAGCCTATTGATAGATTCATTAATTTAGTAATTTCTTTGATTTTAATTTATGCACTTTATGGCAATACACAATGGAAATCATTTAATGTTCTCCTTATGTATCATCAGTAGGTTAATTATTCAAATTTGCAATAAATTAACAATGACTTATAGACTGATAAGATTGTTTAAGCAAATTTCCATAGTCTGAATTATTCGTTACTCAGTGATTGTGTGTGAATCTTTCAGAAAGTTAACAATAGAAGGAAAAGAATGGGTTCAGTATGATGTCATTCATTGTTCAACTATATTAAAAGCAGGGAAAGCAACTAGTGTGAACAAGTCTTTTCTAATTGATTATCTAATCATCCTTCAATATTTGTTAGATGCCCCTTCATGAGTATTAATTATGCAAAACTGAAACTGTGGCTGAATTGTATTTGCCTGAGGTGTGAAGATAACAACCTGGCATAACTGTATAAATGAGTATTTATGGGAAAGATTTCTTATTAAAATTTACTGACCATGTTGTAAATGTTTCTGTACCTTTGAAAATAATTTAGTAAGTGTTTTAGATCCTTTTTGTAAGCATAATAATGTTACATTTGTTTAGTGAAACCCCTGTTCATAGTACATTCCATTTTACACTGCCTGGAAACAACATTGTTGTGTTATGTAGTATGTGACAATTCCTGCATTATTTATCATCCTGTTTGGGCACATCATTTAAAATTTGTATTTGATTTTAAAGAGCACTTGATACTAGGCATTGCTACAAATGTAGAATCAATCCATTATATGTTCTTGTTTTATCAAATTCCATACTCCTAGTTTAACCAGGATATTACATTGGCTACATTTATTAATGTGTTAACTTTGAATTATGATCTATTTAGGTAGCTTACTTTAATCAGAAGTATTGATAATATGGTGTGAAAGTTATTCAGGGTAAATAATAGACATAAGTCCACCTAAAACAATGACAAAGAAAAACAAACAGGTAACAATTTTACACAGTTAAGCCCTAACTTTAATTGAAATAGAAATTTTGTTGCAGTTTCAGCTGTTTCAGTAGGAAGAGTTTCAACAAGGCTATAACAAATGAAGCTTTAATGAAGCATTATTTATATCATTCTTTTTAAACACAAGTTGTATGACACATGATATCAAAGACATTTAACCTAATGGAAATAATGAAATACATTGTGAATGTGGTGTGCTGTTAAGTGTGTTTATTGTATGATTTAAGTATAAATATGATTAAAGAAAGCTCATTGAATTGTTAATTAATAGCTAGTTATGTAGCCAGTAATTATTCTTAAAAGCATAGTAAAATTGCTATCTATTGCTAAAACATCTGCAACACTTGTTTTAATAGGAATCGTAAGTTCAATTTTTGAGTTTTATGAGTGTACAGCAACTAAATTCACTAATTCTGTTTCCTTTAAAGAAATACCATCTTCTGAAGAAAAGGATAGCTTGAATTTATCGTAAGTCAAGTATTATATGTATAATTACAAGAAAATACTGCTTATATATAGATAGCTTTAATTTATTTAATCCTTACATTTGTTAGTTAAACAAATGATGTTATGTATAAATTATTATTTTAAATTTTATCATCATTCTTTATTCTGAACGATTTTTCTTGCAAGATTTTACCTAGAGGCTTTAAATGGCTTTAAATATGAGCTTACACTAAGTGAGAAAACTCACAACATGCCTAGCTGAAAACTAGCTAGGTTGATAATATTAAAGTGTATTTTAATAGGAAATGAATTAAAAGAAATTTATATCTTGCAATATTTTTTTTTCCTGTTGAAGCTAACTCTCAGTCTTTTTCAGTGTCAGAAATGACAGAAAACATACGATATTTAAAAGTTAGCAACAACAAAACTGAACATAGAATATCATGTATTGTTGAAACAATGTTTCTGTGGCAATTAACAGAGAAATATCTAAAATTAAAGGATAAACAACAACAAAGTGTAGATGAAATTGGAAAAGAAATAGAAATATAAATAAATGATATACACATACAGTAATGAAATTTTGTACTGTCAGAGTTGGTGAATTTTTGTCGCATTCAAGAGAGTGTTCTCATATTCCAGACAGTTGAGCCCATACTAAAGATGGTCTTGTGTTCTTTGTCATAAAGTTAGTGCACACACTGTTTCATGTATATAGTCATTATTATGCTCGTGTTTTACTTTGTACACTATATTGTTTTAATGTGTTGATGATATTTAATGTTTTAACAGTTACGAGAAGAGTTGTAGTTGAGTCTTGTACAATCTTCAGCTCAAGCTTTTTTAAAATACATTGAAGTTTTCAATAAGTCTTACTACATATGATTATTTATGTGGATCAGTAGTTTCACTGTTGAGATGTAGTTGTTACTTTTAAATATAGATGTTCTTGATTGCATATACAGTTGGATCTTTTTATAAGACTCTTCAAAGTTCCTAACTTAACATTTTCTCTGTGGTAGCAGTGTTTATTCCCTGTGTAGAACATTTTTTGTTTGTTGTATGTTTTGGTAATTTTATTGTATAATAATGTTGCAGTTTTATTACATTGTGTTAAAAGCCTCTAAATCAGGTTGTTTATCATTTCATTGTAAAATGCTTTGTTTCCTGTAAGTTTTTGTTTTATGACATTCCATACTCCTAGTTTAACCAGGATATTGCATTGGCTGCATTGATTAATCTAAAACTCACACATACATTTTGTGTTTTTTTTTAATTTAGATACTTCTCTTTCAATTGCCACAGAAACATTGTTTCAACAATACATGATATTGTGTGTTCATAGAATGTCGAAACAATGTACATGTAGAGTGTGCTTTTAAAGTGGAAGCCATTTAGGGCTTCAGTATAGTTTCTAAAATTGTGTAAATATAAAATATTGATTTCAATCATTTGATAAATTTGTTTGTCTTTTTTGTCCTCCAGATATCCAAGCATTGAAAGAGTCTTACCTGTTTACTCTATGACAATTTGTTAATTTTAATGCTGGATTTGAATCTAACATTTCATTAGAAACATAATATTTGAATTTCTTAAATCTTTTAGTGCCATGTTTAGAGATAATCAACTCTTCCATTGCTAATTTATTTTTAGATACACAATAAAGAACAAAAAGACATGTATTATATTTAATTAATTACCTGAATCTTGAAACTGGTATACTTTAGGAAGTGTGAATGGGAATAACCCTTGTTCATTGTGGTACAAAATTTTAAACTCATAAGGCAGTGCTCTAGAGTAGGAAATACATGTGCTCTTTGCAGTGAAAGAGTTAAACTCCTGAATGAAATTCCACTTCTTATGAATCTGTCTGTCACTGTGTCTCATTTCTTTTGTCGTAGAACCTTTAAGTTTATTGCGATAATCCTCGTCTACTCAGTTATTTCCAATTTTTTTTTGTTATCAAAACTTTCATTGAGCTTTTTAGTAGCTTTTAATTTCTTGTACCTTAGATGATTTACTTCTGAGAGTTCTTACCACTAAACTTCTATCTTGAGGTTGATTCCTTACTTCTATTTAATGAGAATTATGCTTGGTTTTGCTTGATGTGTTCCACTGTCCTATTTATTTTTGAGGTCAATGATGTGGCCTCTTGTAAACAGGTTTACTTCAGGAAGGAAGACATTAATTTTTTTCCCATGTTTGTTATTATAGAACTCATGGGTGGCTGAAGACCTGTTATATTTATCCTATATATATATATATATATATATATATCCATTCTCAATTACCTCTTAATTTTTCCACCTCATTTCAAATTGAAATATTTTAAGGAACTAACTTGTTGTTACACAAGGGTTTGTGGATTACAAAATATTCTGATATGCTCAGTGCACCAGTTTATATAGCTCATTGATTTCATGCCATTTTTTAACATGTACATATCATGTGACGACTCTCCATCAATAGTTTTGTGCCACCTATATTTGCCATTTCAAAATTTTTTAAAACTGGTTTCTTTTACTGTATTTTCATTCAGTTGTTTGAAATATATATATATATATATATATATATATATATTTGCATTTGTTTCTTGTTACCGAATTATACGAGAATTTCATATGAATTTACGATTCGATGCATCAACTCTGGTAGTTCTTATTATAGTCGACAACGCTACTGATACGACTTCTCAGGAATCGGTTTCGACTTTTATCTGTAGAGGAGGTAGAGGCTTTAGTTTGCAGGGAGCTATATTCATATGTTTGGCCGGCAATTTCTTCTCCTTGTCAACCTGACAATGTTGCTGAGGAAAATACAATAAAAGAGAAGACAATTTAGATTCTCTTTTTCCAGCACCTTTTTTTGGTCTGTGACACTCTATACCTCTTCAGGAGATTTAACTTTCCACACACTTTTTTTTACAGCTGGTTACTCAGGTCGATGGTCAACGCATATTCAGTTTTTTCCTGTATGTTCAAGACAAGGGTGATTTTGCTAGTTTTATTTTTCCAGCTCCTTTAGCCATGTGTGCATGTCATTCACTTTGGTGGAGGTTTGTTTTTCTCATCCTTTCTTCCTATTGGTTTCAGATCTCCCAGTGGATTGGTGGCAAGTTTTTTGACTTGTGCACTTTGCACCTGGTTGTGATACCTGTGATAGGTTTGGCTCAGATGCCTTCTGTGTGGATTTGTCCTTCTTTACACATGGGAGAATTAAGTATTTCACGTCATCAGTGCTCTGAATTTGGGAAGTTAGATATTTATGTGTCCTTTGTTGTCTAAGTTGACTTAGATTTATTGGAAGTTAGATATTGATTATTAATTTGTTTTCTTGGTAATTTTAGTCAGTTATTATTACATACTTTGTAGACTAGAGAAATTTTGATATTTTGTCAGTTTGATATTAATCGTTACTTTGTCAACTAGTTATTTTATATAGTTTGTACTTTACATATCATTCCTATTAGTAACGTGTAATTCAGTGTTCTAGCTGAATAATTTTTTTTGTCATTGTTCAATACGTGCCTTATAATCCTAATTTTTGTCAGTGTAGGACTTAATTTTTTGTATTGCTACATTGCTGATGTGTTTGTTTCTTTCTTGTTTATAGGGCTGAGCTTTGCTTTGGTTACATTTCCCATGTTCTTGATACCACAATCTAATTTTTCTACTTGTAAATGTACTGTACAATTTGGGGTTTGTCCCCACAGTACCCATATTGTTGATAGTTATTTATAGTTAGAAGTTGAATGTTCTAGTTTAGGGCCATACTGTTTGGACTAACCTTGGCTTTTATGTGTTTTGTTGGGTGGTAAGAACATTTGCCCAACATCTTCACCCAGTGGGCCTTTGCACTTATCATTACATAAATAACTGGCTCATGCTCGCTTCTTCCAAAGACTACACTCATCTGCTCCTATAAGAAGCAGCATGGTGGAGGGGATATCTGATAAAGGTGGAGAAGTCCACTCTTACCCATACTCAATACCTTATTCAATTGAGGGTTTTCTTCAATTCCAGCCCCAGTCCGACCCAGCCTTCTCCCATTCATCTTTGAGATATGGAGCAAGCATTCCACAAGGCCCTCACCTTACATTCTCTCACAGCTTGAGAGGTTCTATATCTTTTGGGTATGTTGGTTCTCTTGAAAGCTCTTATTCCCATTGGTCAAGCTCATATGCATTCCCATCAGTGATCACTCCTCAATCAGTGGAACTTCTTGGACCACTGTTTTTACTTTCTTTCCACAGCCTGGCTTGATGGCTAGAAAGTTCCAGATCACGGCAGGGGTTCTGCTTCCTCCACCTTATCCAGATTTACATCTGTTCATGGATGCATCTTTAGAGGATTGGAGTGCTTATCTCGACACCTGGGAGATATCCAGTCACTGGTCAGTTGAGGAGTCTTCTCTCCAAATCAACATTCTCAAACTTATGGTAGTTCATCAAGCTTTGTCCCACTACCTTCCTCTCCTATGGGGGAGGATGGTTATAGTACACTCCAACAACTCCACAGTGGTCACTAATATCACCAAGTAAGGGGGTATAAAATCCAGGTCTCTGTGCTTTCAGACCCTGGATCTTCTTTACTTAACCCACAGTTGCCACATGGTGTCTTAGCTTGCCATATTCCTGGTGCCCTGAATCTGGTTGTGAATTGTTTATCTCGACCCAACATGATTCTTCCCACTGAGTGGATCCTCAATTCACAAGTCTTTCACTGAGTTTGTTCTCAGCTGAGAACACCTCATATCGATGCTTTCACCACACACACTGGAATACCAAACTTCCTTCCTTTCGGTTTCCCATTCCACACCTTCTAGCTCTGGGAGTGGACACATTCAATCAAGATTGGAGGGGTTATCACACTTATGCTTACCCTGCTGTTCAACTCCTCTCCAGAGTTCTATCTCTAATCTAATCTAAGATTGGAGGGGTTATCACACTTATGCTTACCCTGCTGTTCAACTCCTCTCCAGAGTTCTATCTCTAATCTAACCCACTCCATATCTAGTCCTACTTGTGGCTCTGTATTGGCCAGTACAACCATGGTTTTCTCTGCTCCAACCTTTACTTGTACAACTTTCTCTACCCTTACCTCTGTCTTGGGCTCTACTCCATCAATTTCGGTCAGACGTTGTTCATCCAGATGTTACTACAGTCCATCTTCACGCATGGCTTTGGTTAGGTCCACTGCCTCAGCCCAGGGACTGACTCCATGTGTTGTATCTTTACATCCTAACCCATCAAACTTTCTTCCATGTGCAATTACCAAAGGCAATGGTCTACCTTCCGCCTTTGGTCTTTTCGACATAGCTTCTGTCTGTTTCATCCTTCTGTTCCTCATCTTTCCCAATTCTTCACTTGGTTGTTTGACAAAGGCTTGTCCAATTTGACTGTGTCTAGCTATTGGGCAGCCTTATCAAACACCTTCTGTTTCTCCAAGTTTTGTCTTTCCTTCCTTTTCCGCTCCCCTTTTGAGTCATGCATCTTTCATATTACTTTGATTTGTCTGATTGAGATTTCAGCATTGTCTTTTATGCTATTTTCCATCCTCTCTTTGAACCTTTGCCTATGTGTTCCACGTACCATCTCTCTCTCTCTCAAGACCTATTTCCTCCTCCTTCTTGTTTGTGGATGTCATCAATCAGATATCTATGCCATTTACGTTACCTGCATCCTTTACAATTCCTCTTGTGTCATTCTATATCCCGACTGGCCCTTCCTCCCTAAGACCTTTACTGCCCATGAAGGTGGTTTGTTTTTCACCCGTATTACCTTACCTTCCATCTCCCACCTGTAATTCCATTTGCTGTTTATGGTGTTATGTGAGAGGTACTACCTTCTTTTGGGCTTCATGTTCCTAACTTTTTATTCCCTGAAATTCTTCCATTTCTTGTGATTTGTCCCCTGTCATGCTAACTGGTTGGGTTTGTCAACTCGTTAGGCTGGCACATTTGGACTTATCCATGGAAGGTCAGCAACACCACAACATCTCTTCATATCACCATGTCTTTGGCTGCTCACCCTCGCTGTTTTTTGGAGGAGATCACTCAGGCTGGAATGTAGACTACTTCCAATACCTTTGTTGTTCATTATCTTCATGATCTAGCTGTATCTTCTTCAGGTGGATATATTTTCCATTCCGTGGCGATTCTACACGCGTCAATTTGCCTTTGATTGGAGTAAGTCTTCCTTTCATTTATGCTTTTATTTTAAGCTACCCTCGTTTTTACCACTTATAATGGGATTCCACTCTGTGGTGGGTGTTGTCTAGTCAGGTATGCTTTGCCTCAAAATTGCATCATTTACTTATTGAATTATAATGTTCACTGTAGATATGGGGTGTAACACAAGACCATTGATGTCATACCCAGTGGTAGATATATGTATGTGATTTTAGATATCAGTAAGTTTTACTCAATGATAGACCGTCAACTATGAATTTCATGAGTCAAGCAGAAGGGGATTTTTGCTATTCCTGCCGACCCTTTGGTTGAATAAATCAGGGTTGGTCTGCTTTTTCAAAATAGGGAATCAAGGATATCTATTGCACTTTCTCTGGTGTGATGTTCTTCTGGACTCTCCACTGCATTTCTTCTTCTCCCCATTTTTCTTCCAGTGAAGCGTGGGAGTCCTTACCAGTTACCAGTCACTGGTGTGGTGGATGATGGAGGCTTCTTCCTGAGTGAGTTTAGAAATTTAATTTACCATACATAATAAGTAAGAAGAGGGCAAATCCGGTTTTTTTCCTTCCATTTCCCCCAGATGTTTTTTCCCAGGTGGGCAGTTGTCAGTTGGAGCAGGTCCAGCCTACCCAGGATTCTCAACATAATACTGGGTTTGGGATGACACCTCCCTGTTCCTATATTTGTGTGTTAATAATAAGTTGCAGGGGGCTCTTTCCCTGCTTCTATGGTTGAGCAAATGTTACATGTCCTCTCAGTAATTGCGAGTGCAAGATGCCTTATCCCTGTATTATGGTTGAGTGAGTTGTGGTTTCTGCTTGTAATAACAGTTACAGATATTACCCTGTTCTTATGGTTGAAATGAGGCAACACCATGACCCCATAATCCCAGGTTTGGTTTGTTGTACTTCTTGCACCTACGGTGCTTTTAGGAGTTTGTCTGGTTTTGGCTGAAAGCTAACTTCCTCTTCATAATTCTGGTTGCTTGATGCATGACACTCTGTTTACTTATAGTTAGGGTTGATGAGTATATGCAACACAGTCCATATGCCCTGACCACTATGTTTATGTTGCAATATATTTATTTTTATCTTTTTTTGATTCTCAACCTCCTAATGCTGAGGATGAGTTAAGGAATCTTGTCTGACCATTTGAGGTTGTGTAGGTACATAGCTAGTTGGTTTATATTTTACTATGGATTGCACTTCTAAAAACAAATTGCACTTGTGCAAATCTTTTCTCTGCTTGTATCAGACTCATTTCCTACTTCATGGACAAAGAGCATACCTGTTCCAGATGTAGTGCAGTACCCCACAAATGTGCTTTGTTTTGTTTGTGTGAGATATTACCCTGTTCTTATGGTTGAGATAAGACAACACCATGACCCCGTAATTCCAGGTTTGTTTTGTTGTACTTCTTGCATCAGATTCTTGTATCAGATTCATTTCCTACTTCATGGACAATGAGCATACCTGTTCCAGAAGTAGTGCAGTACCCCACAAAAGTTTGTGGGAGATATTACTCTGTTCTTATGGTTGAGATGAGGCAATACCATGCAACACTTTTGCAAATCCTTTTTTTCTGCTTGTATCAGATTCATTTCCTACTTCATGGACAAAAAGCATACCTGTTCCAGAAGTAGTGCAATACCCCACAAGTGTTCTTTGTTTTGTTTGTGTGAGAGGAGATCATATTGGAAATTAACATTTTCATACAAGTATTTCACACCATTCCTCCACACTGCTGCGGTTCTTCTTTTTAGAGCCTGCCAATTCTCATAAAGTGAGGATTGAGCAGGAATAGCAGAAAGAGCTAGCTACACCAGTAAACAATCATTGTAAGAGTAATTTATTATGTTATTAATCTTGCATGTCTAATCAGTAAACAATCTTTTGTTAGCTTTGCAAATTATGTTTTAGTTTTGTATGTGTAGTGTGAACTGTCTATTCTGTATCAATATTTAATTGATATTATACTTTGTATGCTTTATAATTAAAAGTTGTGTACCTCATTAGATTTTATTTTTCTGTTTTTTATAGTTTAGGACTGAAGTTGCATACTATGCCTATATTTGCAGGGGCAAAGGGGAACTGTTATTCATGTTGTAAATGTTATAGATATTACCATTATTTTTAGTATTAATAACTTTCTAATGAAAACATGTTTAATTATTAATTGGTACCATTTATGTTTTTTTATTTAAAACTTGTAGCAGTCAACACAAGAAGCCAAGTTTTAAATTAAATTGTAGATGAGTAATGTTAATAATTCTGTTATAATTACAGACAGGAAAGTGAAATATTTAAAGGAAGCCTAACAGCTGATCATCCAGTGAGGACTCGTAAAACAAAACACATAGATTTGGAAACATTTAAAGCAGGGTTAAAAGAGCTGAGAGCAAAACGAGGTAAACAGATATTATGATACGTTAAGTCTTTAAGTTTTGTAGACAACAAAGATCTGAATCTAAAATATCTAATGTTTTTTATGATTACTGATAGTTCTGAATATAGTTTGATTGTAAGGTAATAAATTAATAAACTGATTGTATTGTGATTACTAGATATTTTTGCTTTTACAATATTAACAACAAAGTGTATTAGCAGATTCAGAATTTCTTTTTGAGAATAAACATTCATTTTTATTAAGAATTGAAGCTTTTGAGAAAATTCAGACCAAATCAATTTATGTAAAGAATGCAAATGTATTTTCCAAATTCTTAGTAAATTTTGGATATTACTATACATAGTATTTTCATGCATCATAAGCAATTTCACAAATACAAGTATAAATCATATACTTTACATATAATTTTCAAAATAGATAGAAACAACTCTACTAAAGTGTAAATTCATAATTTCAAATTCAACTTTTATGTGTAGTGAGCAATTTTTTTTGATCATTTTTTTGTCATATGGAATTGAAGTGATCTGATCAAATGAGTTTCATAATTTTTTAAACTGTATAATCATCTTATAAGTAAGTTTCTGAAGATGTATTTCAACAGTATTTATTGTGTTTACAAGTTAATACATTTTTTATTCAACCACTTTCACAAATCTGGCTGCAGACAACAAAAACTAGTAAAGATGTGGGACATTGTGGGCTAGAGCACCCACATCTGCTCCATTTTTTTTTCTTAAACATGTGAGGCCAGGAAAGTTGAGGTTAAACTGGATAAATTTGTTTCTTATTTCTGCCAGTATCTCAAAAAATCAGGGCACATAACATAATGATCAACCATATTATTTGTACCCCGGTGTTGAATGTTTTGTTGTGGCTGCGATTTATTTTTCATTATTTTTTTCCCATAAAATAACATTTAATGACACACACACACACATATTCATATTTCATAATGGATTGATATGATTTTTGTATTTACCAGTTGTTGAAACATGCAACTTAGATGTTGTAACTTTATGTAACTAATGGTCAATTCCCCAGTCATTTATAAGTATTTTTTGTCATTTGCAGTCTATTAAGTTTATTTAGTTCATAGCTTACACTGTCATATATGTTATAAACATTCCACTTACAAATTTACCAGTGCATATTTTCATTAACTAAAATGTAAAAAGGAAATTTTTGAAAAGCATGATGCAACCACCATCTATTGCTAAAACATCTTGGCAATACTCCACCTAATCAGATAAGATCCAGACACTGATGTCAAACACACTAGCAACTAAGGAAAATCAGTTAAGGGTTAGGAGTTGAGTGCTTAAACTTGTGACATCTCAACTCCTCCTGCCTTTTGCTCTCTGCAGCCAATTGTGACAAGGCAGTTACTCTTAATATTTAGATACAACTTTAAAGTAGATATAAACCACCCTAAATTCCTACAATGTAAAACTCCTAAACACCATTCTTTTATGAGATATACATAAAGGCAAAAATGTTCTCATAGTAGAAATAAACCACCCTATATTTCTACAAGACTCTCAACCTCTACCCTTTGATTTAATAATTACAAGATGATGTTAAACAAAACTAAAATCCTTACCTTAATAGTTCTTAATACTCCATCCTTCTCCCTTTCTTCTGAGAATTTGTTCAAGTATAAACCGAGTGAGCTGAGACAAGCCCAGCTAACTGAAGTTGATCTTTCTATCCCAGTGTACTGAACAAAATGCCTAAATTTTTTAAGGTTAGTTATCTATAAGCCAAGGATGACCTCGAGTAACTAATGGCCTCTATGTTCTCCACAAGTTAGTTTCTGTAAGCGAGAGTTTACTTTTTATTATAATTTCATACTTGTTATAAAAGAGGATAAACATTTTTTTATATACAAGTCCTTATAACCATTATTTTTCAATTTCTTTATGAATAATTGAACATTATCGGCTTCTGGATCTTGTGTGACAGATGGATTATCCCCAATGCATTTGGGTCCTAACGCCACAGACATTGTTCATTATGAGTTTTATGATGACAACAAGGACCAATAATGAAAAAATTTATTTTGATTTTTGTCTCTATGTAACTTTTTTGATTTATATATATCTATTTATATATATACACTCACTCACATTTAGATATACAGAAGAATAACAGTTATATTCATTGTAACAGTGCATATGATATGGCACACATATATATATATAAGATAGGAAAATATAAATAGTACCAGGAAGCAAGATATATTCTGGTGAGAGGTATACATTCAAGTTGATTTTACATAGTTGTAAGAATACATATATTAGTTTTAACATCTATTAGCAGGTCAAAGGTTTTAGATGCCATTTAGGAATTATGTGAGTTTGTTATAAGATTTTCTCACTGGGACTATATATTACTAATCTGTTCAAATGTTGACAAAAGTTTTTGATCATATGAAGACTGGGAATGGCTTTGTCGTTCTCAGCTGTAGACAGCGAATAGTTATTAAGATGTAGAAAGTTGTGGGCTGGAACACCGATAATTGTTTTTAACTTTGAATTATATATCTAATTTCATTATACATATGAAACTGACAAGTACAAGTTAAAGCTTGTAGATGATGCATCCACGCAACTGTGTAAGTCCTTCTTCTTGAGATACCTGTCCCTTTAATTTACATACTGTTCACACACATTAGCTCGTACCCTGGCTCTAATTGGTTGTGACGTGTGTGTGCGTGCAGGAAATTGTTCCTTTAATTTAAGCATGGTTTGAAAATTGAATATGCTGTATGTGTATGTGTGTGTGTATATATATATATATATATATATATATACACTACTTACTTATTTTTACTTTTTCGTTTTACCAAAGGAGTAGCTATTACCTGAAGTACCAAGAAACAAGGAATATTGCAGAAGCATCGTAAGTTAACATTTACATGTTAAAATACAAGCTAAGTTTTTGTCCATCATAGTATTTCAATATGATTAGGAAATTGTTTTCTTGTAAGCAGCTTCTTAAGTGCTGAAAAAAGTATTAGCAGCAAGGGTACCCACCTTTTTGAAGTTTTTTGTAGTTTGTTTATTTATTATTATTGTAGAATTTTAGCAGTTCTTTAGGTATAAGTTATTACATAATTATAGACCATTATTTCAATGTTACAGTCATTGCTGAGCTGTATGTGATAGATAATATTTACCTTTAATCTTTTAAATGCAATTTCATGAAGTTTCAGCTTAGATTATGTCATTACTAAAGAAAATGCTACAAATGCTTTCAGCTTATATGTGTGAATTTTTATTATCTGAAGCCAAGGTTTAGGATAAGTTTGGTATATGTAAGTTAAAAAGAGATTGATAATAATCAGTAACTTAGTGTTGGTTCAAATTATATTAACATTCTTTCATAATAAATTTAATTGCTCATTTTTCAGGTTTGAAGATGATGTGTCTGGAGATAACCAAAGAGCTGACAATCCGCCAAAGACTCATAAAACAAGACAAATTACATTAGAAGCATTTAAAGCTGGCTTAGAAAAACTTAGAGAGAAACGAGGTAAGCAAAAGTGTGTAATTAGCATCTTCTGTATATTCGTTTTTTATTTTGAAGAAATTGAGAGACAGCTATGGAGAAGCTTTTGATTGAAAGATACATTTTAAATTTTGAGTTATGAACCTGAGAAAATATTTTTCCTTGTAAACTTGCTTTAGCAAAATTATGGTATGTTTATAAATAGACAAAAAACTGAAAAAAAGTGTTTTGCCCATTAAAATATAATGCAAGGTCTTTATAAGTGTGTATAATATTCATTTAATATTTTACAGCAGTGCAAGTTTATAATGCATTTATATATTTGTTTGGGGATGAAATTAATATTAACTTCTGATAAAGAGTAAGGTACCTAATATGTGTTGGCTTACTCATACAGAAGTGCTGTATAAACAGCAAACTAATATTCATGATTCTGGAGTAGATCATGCAACCACAACATTAACGTGAGAAGACTACATTTGTAATTGATATTAACTTCTGATAAAGAGTAAGGTACCTAATATCATGTGTTGGGTTAATTATAAAACATAATGACACTTTTGTAGATTATAAAAACTTATCTAATACTGTAAAGGTGTAACCAGTTGTTTAGTGACAATTTAATTTGTTGTTCTCTTGTATCACTCAAGTGTTGTAAAAAAAAAAAGAAACTTACATATTGAAAGTTTATTGATGGCAACCTCAGAATTTCCATATTTAATTATCACGCTTAACTAGGATTGGCAAAACTGTCATTTGGCCTGTAAAACACTGTTAGTTGACAGCCCATTGTTTTATCACTGTAGACTTTATCAAATATACAATTTGTTAGTGTGGAACTTTCTTTAGAAGCTTCATGTACTTTATAAACTGAGAAGCAAAATCCCACTGAAGAAATCATAGGTAAACTTGAAGAAACCAGGTCTCTTCTTCAAGAAGAGAAAAACAAAACTGGTGTGTAGGAGGAGGAAAAGAAATTGGGACTGACCAAAATAGCCAGAGAATAAATTATAACACCAAATGGGACATCAGAAAATACATATTAGAAGAAAAAAGGAACCAATCACAGTTTACCTAAAAGAGCAGAAGTGTGTGTGTGAGAGAGAGACTGTGAAGCAAGGTATCTCCGGCACAGAAATCCCACATACAGGAAAACAAATGTTATTGTCTGGGATAAAGAAACTCAAAAGCACTTCCAAAACACTGGAAAATGGTCAGAAGGAATTTGATAAAAAAAGAAAAATTATTAACTGTTCTGCAATCTTAAACCAAGGAAGAAAAGTGTTATCTAGAAAGATGAATATATGTCAAACCTGTAGAAAGGAGGAGACTGATTAAATGAGGGACATGTTAATGGGAACTTAAAGAAAACTGTATGAATAAAACAAATGTCTGAAAACTTATCTGACTGTAGTAAACTAGCTGCTGGAAGAGGAAGATAAAACAATTTAGACTTTAAACCTTTTGGTCCAATCACCCTTAGGAAGCAGGAAAAGAAACTGGTTCCAATGCCACCTCTCACAACAGAAAAGAAACAATATTTCCTAAAGAATTTGAAGTGGGAAGTTCAAATCATGATGAATTGTCAGAACCAAAAATACTATTCTTTCTTCCAAAATAACCCCATGTAATAAGCAGGAGAAATTACCTTGAGTAGATTCACCAAATTCAACATTGTGAAATTGTTCAGCAAATAACTCTACAATTAAACTCTAACATCAGGATAGAGACATTTCAGAAGAAGAATTACAAATTTTGTTGTTATTAGAAACAGAAAATTTAAAACTTGTATCCTCAAGGACAAAAGCAAAAAATAACTATGAAACTGATGTAAGTTCTCACATCATGATAAACAGACACTATGTGGATGTATGAAGTAAAGATGCTAAGGGTAATGGGATTCTCTCAGGTAGTAAGCATGGATAGAATAAGTGGATAAGTTGAGATTGAAAAATAGTTAGTTAGAAATCTAAATGTTTAGAAAGTACAATGTATGAGATGAAGCAAAAATGTAAATAAAGATTTGAACCTTTGTTGATATTCCTTTAGACCATAGAAATTACTAGATGGCAGTTGATCTTATTTTACCATACTTTGTGACTGATTAGTAGATTAGTTGTTTTTAAGTTTGTCAGATATCCAACTCTATGCTTGAGACTTGGAGACAACCTCATGCTAACAAATATTGGCTAAAAATATGTAGAAAATCAGCTTAAAAAAATTTAGTTAAGTTGAAAATGTTAGGAGTTGTAAAATTTTGGTTTTACATAATGAAGTAATACAGGCTTATCAAAGTTTTGACACTTTTATCCTACAATCTAAGTAGTAATTTCTTTTCTATATAGCCTGTCTAATTACAACATAATATTGAACTTAATTTCTAAGGAAAGCAACTTTTTGGCAAATGAGTGCAATATTCGCTATAGGAGTACTTATAAAATAGAACATATTTTATCTAATACTATTCATATGAGTTGAACAACTGAATTTTATTTTTTTTATTATTTGTGTGGCTCAAGTGGTCATGTGGGTTAATAGGTTGCTGTTGTATTTTACATGCATTCATGAATGATAGAATTATAAAGCCAAAATAATTTATATTTATGAGCTTTATTGGAGTAGAATGCTATGCAATTACAATATCTATTTTAAAATGTGGTATTCTTAAAAGAAAAACAATTTTAGGATTTTATTATTTAGCCATGTATGCAATCTATGGGTAAGAAACATTTCATATTAGAATTTAATGCTTAAACATTACTTGTTACAAGTTAAAGGAAATTAATAAAAACTAAATGAATTATTCTTAAAATTTTAATTTTTATGCAGAAATACTCTTACGGTGTTGACAGTTTACTAAAAGCAGGCAGTTTTCTTTTCAATAGTTGGTTTTCATTAAAAGTAGATATTGTTTGAATTTGCTTATTATATACTTATTTCATTTTAGCTGAGGTGAAAAATTATATTATAGGTCATAAACCAGAGAACAAAGAAGATAGCTTCGGGAAAAAGGTAAGACTGTATTGCTATGCAGGCTGTCAAAATTAGCTATTAATAAGGTAATATTTTTGACCTTTTAGAAGAACCTGATTTTTTTGTTTCATATGTATGTTTCAATTAAAGTATTATTCATTATTCTCATGATGTTTGAGCATAGTATACACAAGTATTTTTTCAACAAAAGAAAGAAAGAAAAACTAGTAAATTCTAATGGGTTAGAATGTTGAAGGTGACTCTTTGGAAGGGTCACACTATACAAACAAACAGTGAACATATATAAATGTTGACATTTTTTTTTACATGGTTAAAGATATTCTAATAAAGCATTTATCTTAAAGCAAACATCATTTCTACAAAATACATATATTTATAGGTATAAATAACAGTATTATTTAAGCCACAAGCTGAGACCAGTTTATTTTTTGTAACTGTTGTAATCTGTAAACCCTCAGCTGTGTGAAGATAAATGTTTACGTAATAGTGCAGAGCAATATATTATTGTGTGAGTTGAGACAGCCTTTATTTTTCTCGTCTTATGTTATTAGTGCTAGTATAAAACAAACATAATGCATTACATTGTGTTTTGCATTTAAAAAGATCTACTTATTAACAGGTAAGTGATAGTCTAAAATCTGCTTTTGAATATGTACAAATATATAGAAAAGAAAACTAGCTGGTTGCCTGTAGCAGTGGTTTTTATACACCAAGCATGGACTTAATTGTGATTTACACAAGTAGTAATGTGTTTGAAGTAACTGGCAATTTTATGAATATTTTTCTCATTTCTTCAGAAATCAAGGGAATCAGTTCTCATAAAGTATGATTACCATTTAACTTCTTAAGGTAAAATAATCCATCTAGATGATATGAAAATAATGGAATTAATGAAGTTTGTGTTCTCTCATTAGAATAAGTTTAGAGCAGTTGACATAATTAATAATGTAATAAATCTGAATGGATAGGGAATTGTTTTATGGAAAGTGCTATTAGTTATAGAGCTGTGGTTTTATTAAACTGAAATTTTGTTTTATTTTTGTAAATATGACTAAAAATAACTTTCAAAGTATTTTGTTTTGAATATACCAAAATGTATTGAAAGTATGATGAACTATGCATATTATATCATTATAGGTATTTGGTATACAGTTAAAAAATAATGTGTTGCTATCACTAAATGACCCCGATGGAAGAAGTTGTATCACACATTATTGAACTGACTTCAGACCTTAGCCCTAGAATTGTTAATAGGGTCCAAATGTCATTGACTTTTCAAACAGTTTTTGTTTTATTTTAACTACCTATGCACTAGCTTACTTGTGGTCCATGACATGGCTGGTTGCAAGGTTACTGATAATCTAGGAGTCACACAAAACAAGTGAAAAGAAAATATCATGAATACTGCAGTTAATCTCACTTACTACTGCTGGGCCTCCTGTGTGTTTTATGTAGAAAGTAGTGATTTCATCAAATTTTTTGTTTGATGTAACAGGCAAAAACATGTTGACTCCCACTGGTAGTGGATGGAATAAAATCAAGTCAGTGATATAAAGGTTAAGTGTAATGATGTGTGACAGCTATTAATTAAGCAAATAATATCTTAATTGGTGTTTGATGAGGCATTACACCACAGTATGATAGATAACATATAAATCAACAGAAACCTCATAAGTCTTACTCACTGAGTTGCAGTTATCTTAGATGCTGTCAAAACTCAAGATATTACCCTTGAAAAAAAGACTTAAGAAAACATTAAAAAATTACTGAAAGACAAACTCAGATTGATGATAGCTACCTTTTATTCTAAAGCTAATGGACGATTATAATTATGAAGATTTTTTAGGTAGATGGTAATCTCTCTTTGTAACTTATTTTTACCAGTCAACATTGATAGTTGAACTTTTATAATTCTTAAGCACTTGAAAAATGCAGGATGCTACCCCATTGAAGCTAAAGTATTTTAAACATCTAGCAGACTGTAATGCATCCCAAGAATATGGCTACCTAGTAAATGTGGTAGAATACCTATGTGTATACTACCAACACTGATTACATCTGCCTCACATTTGGTTACTGTAAAAGTTTGTTCTAATTGTGTTTGTAAAAATGTAACCTTTCGCTTAATGTTCATATTAATGATCATTCATAAACCCTTTCATTTGTGGATAAAAAAAAATAGTTAGTGGGCTTTGAATACCAAGAGAACATCTTCATATACGTCAAATGAACTGTGAGCTACCTTGCTTAATATTTAGATAGTATATTAAAACAGTAAGATATAAGGTTATTTATATAAACATGTCATAAAATTTGCTATACATTTTTTATGACATATGCTTATGACATAGGTATAGACATTCAAACATATAAGAAATACAATCCTAACTTTGTTTTTTTAATAAATTTCTCTATCTTAATTTAAATAATTCCTTTCTCAGCTGTTCATTCAGTCAGAATCTAAGATAATAGAATATTTTTCATTTTCTGTAGATTGTTTTAATAAAGTAGAATTCTGTCATAGTCACTTTTTGTAATAAAACTAGAAGTCTAACAAAAACATTTATTACGTTTTTATGAATTCGTGTTAGTTTTTATTCACTTGAATCATAAACTAATTTTTAGATTAATGTTTTCTTCGTACGTACATAATATTAGCCACGTTGCATAATATTCATATATTATATCAAACAGTATGATATAAATGTATATAATAATATACCTTCTTTCGACGTATTTTCATCACTTTTTTTGCAAGATGTAAATATAACATTAATTTTACCCCAACAGTTTTAAATTGGAAAGTTTCATTGTTATTATAGTAGATGGCACCACGAGCTTTATTTACAAGATTAAAAATCTACAATATAAATATAATAATGGATTTTTATTTTCTCTAAAGTGTGGTGTTCAGTGTTATTAGAAGTTGTTTGGATTATATGAAATTAAATTAAAATCATATTTTGTATGAACTGAACATACGTCATATTAATTTTTCCATTTTAACAATATCCAAGAATTATGTATGTGTATATGTTAAGAAACTACAATCATTATTCATTAGTCTTCTAGCTATACAAGTACTGTCAGCCTCAGATAGCGTATGAATTACACCTGAGTATCATTAGTTATTTCATGAAAAAACTCACCGCCAGGAGTGTTGTATTGAAGTAGGTACTTTACATACTAAATTTGATAACATACCATCAAATTTAGTTAAGTTCAGTAACTAAACTTCCATTACAGTTATTCAAACTGGGCGTCAATCTCTAGTTTTTTATATTTCTGAAAGTATAAATGCGCCATGAAATGACAAATCAATGCTATTATAAAATTTTAAGCTAACGTTTCAACAGAAATGTATTGATTTTTGAGAACTGTTAAAACAGATTTTAATGTAAGGGTTCATAGTTACTAACAGAAGATACAAAATGTTGAGGCTTGAAGTTAAAGTCATGTAATTGTATGATGTTGTTTCACTTCTTGTTGCACAAAGGCCTTATATAGTCCGTATATGTAGGCTTGAGAACTTTGATGGACTACAACTGCCTGCTGAATTTTCAGAGCGACGTTTCGGATTCTATGCTGAGTCCTTATTCAGGTAGTGGCAGTTTATTAAAATTCTCAGATCTACTTTATCCGCTATGCCTAAAGTTCCACTGAAACAACATCCGTCTATGTAATTTATGAGCTTCATTTATTTTCATACCGTATTATTTACAGCTTCCTATAACAAGAAACTGTCATCACAATCAAAAACTTTCTTGAGAAAAAAGCGTTTTTCAAAGCAATGCCACTACTTTGATAGTATCAGTAATTTCGAGTAACACGAATATTAGTTCTTAAATTTTTCTTTGTACTGTATTTGTAATTGTTGTCTAATGGGTTTCAGTCGTCCTTAATTTCTTTTTGTTTGACTTCATTTGATATTATTGACTGGGATAACAAACTTTATGCCATGTGCTAGACATTTGCTGTTGTAAGCATATAAGCACTTGAATTGATTAATTATTTTGCTTCTTTTATATGTTGTTGCTGGTTAGGTATTTATTTCGAAATACAGTTTAAATTTTCCTTACGTTGTTTAGCCAGTGTGATGTCCTACTTAGAGCATTTTATACCCAAGACATAAATAAAATCTGAAAAAGACAAAAGCGCCTTTAGTCATTTTGTTATTTCCTCCATTGTCATCAAGTTTCACTAGGTTCATTACTTGTCAATTTCCTTGACTTGTGTTACTTAAGAAGTGAATTGAGGTCTTTCTTTTTGCTATCGTTGATGTCTTACAGCTTTAGTGCCTTGTCTCTTCAATTTGTATAGTTACCGCCTCAGTGTTATATGAAGGTTCACCTGAAATGCACTATATAAAATAAATATATCTTATATTTGTTATATAGAGTGTTTACCTTTCTTTCGTTTTGGTGGGATTTTAGAATTATCCCTTTATCCATATAGGTAACCAACCTATCTCCTGCAATCAACATACATAACACCATTCTGCGTTTGACACACGGCTGGAATTCATTTGATCGAGAGTCGTGTGCAAAAAAGCATGATCTTCATTCCCTTCAAGTCAGAAATGTAGCGATGATTTTATTGTCTGAAATTGTTAAACAAATTTGAGACAGTTTTCTCCAAGCTTCTTACATACTTTGTTTACTCTGTATTTAAAAACAGTAAGCTTTTTTACTTTTATTGTTACAAGATTTTTGGTTTGTGACGCATATTTCACTCTTAGTTTGTCATATTTTTTCTGTTATTTGATGGATCTTTACACGTTACTAAATGATTGAAGTAGTTTGACTATTTTTTCTTTAAAATTTATCATTACGTTACACCTGTAACTAATTTCTTCTAGTACAATAAGTTATTTGAAATTAACGTTTTCTAGCATTTACTAAATTAAGTGAAAAGTTAATGTTTTATGGTAATAATGTTGCTCATAACAACATATTTAGCAAAGTTAGTACTGAATTAACGAAATTCGCCTAATGATTAGTATTCCATGTTGGGTATCG